TCAATCACACCAATGACTCGAGACCAGTCACTCTCCCTGAGAGAAGATACAACACGTACTGATCTTAACGGACTGTCAATGCCCAATTGGCAATCCTATGATCAGGAACGTTTAGGATATGTATACGAAAGAGAATGGTCTCATGAATCTAACTTGTTTAAATTACATTCTCCTAATTACATATTCCTTGGACTTATCGTTTAAGCATATAACATTTATACAAGACGGCTTAAAACAATAATCTTTGCCCTTGATATTAAACTAGATTAGTTTAACATGTGAAATGTCCGTAAAGTATCATCATATGATTGGTTTTAGGGCACATTTCCAACATAAAATTCTCCAAGTGTTAGTGAATCTATTGTTTTGATAGGATACGCATTCTACGAAACTAGTTTCAACGATCCAACCTTCAAACATGTTTGTATATACTTCGAGATCGCATACTCCAAAAATTGAAAAAAAACAAACATTCAGAGATCAAGTAACGGGACAAAACTTTTCGACGGTTATCAACGAAAAATCACGATTTAATGGTTATTTTAACTCCAATTGATGATTTTTTACAGTTCAACTCCTTGACCCTATATGAATACAAGGAATGAATTCAATATTCAATTTAAAATATTTACACTAGTGGATACCACAAAATCTTATGTTATACTTAATGAAAGTATAAATATACTCTATGTGTTAGTGAATCTATCGTTTTGATGGGATACACATTCAACGAAACAAACTTCAACGATCCAATCGTCAAACCATTTTGTATATGCTTCAAGATCGTATACGTCAAAAATTGAAAAAAAAAAAACAAACATTCAGGGATCAAGTAACGGAACAAAACTTTTTGACGGTTATCAACGAAAAAATCACGATTTAACGGTTATTTTAACTCTAATTTTGATGATTTTTTACAGGTACACTTCTTAACCCTATATGAATACAATGAATGAATTCGATCTTCAAGTTAAAATATTTACACTATTGGATACCACAAAATCTTATGTTATACTTAATGAAAGTATGAATAAACTCTTAAGTGTTAGTGAATCTATCGTTTTGATGGGATACGCATTCTACGAAACTAATTTCAACGATCCAGCCGTCAAACTTGTTTGTATATGCTTCAAGATCGCATACACCAAAAATCGCAAAAAAACAAAACATTCAGAGATCATGTAATGGGACAAAAATTTTCGACGGTTATTAACAAAAAATCACGATTTAACGGATATTTTAACTCCGATTTTGATGATTTTTTACAACTACACTCCTTGACCCTATACAAATACAATGAATGAACTTGATCTTCAATTTAAAATATTTACACTAGTGATGTTACACTTAATGAAAGTATGAATAAACTTTTAAGTGTTAGTGAATCTATTGTTTTGATGGGATACGCATTCTACGAAACTAGTTCAACGATCCAACCGTCAAACATGTTTGTATATACATCAAGATCGCATACACCAAAAATTGAAAAAAAAAAAAAAAACAAACATTCAGAGATCAAGTAACGGGACAAAACTTTTTAACGGTTATCAATGAAAAATCACATTTAACGGTTATTTTAACTCTGATTTTGATGTTTTTTTAAACATACACTCCTTGACCATATATGAATACAATGAATGAACTTGATCTTTAATTTAAAATATTTACACTAGTGGATAACACAAAATCTTATGTTATACTTAATGAAAGTATGAATAAACTCTTAAGTGTTGGTGAATCTATCATTTTGATGGGATACGCATCTACGAAACTAATTTCAACGATCCAACCGTCAAACTTGTTTGTATATGCTTCGAGATCGTATACGCTAAAAATTACAAAAAACAAACATTCAAAGATCAAGTAACGGGACAAAATTTTTCGACGATTATCAACGAAAAATCATGATTTAACGGTTGTTTTAACTCCGATTTTGATGATTTTTACAGCTACACTCGTTGACCCTATATGACTACAATGAATGAGCTCGATCTTCAATTTAAAATATTTACTCTAGTGGATACCGCAAAATATTTTGTTATATTGAATGAAAGTATGAATAAACTCTTAAGTGTTAGTGAATCTATTGTTTTGATAGGATACGCATTCTACGAAACTAGTTTCAACGATCCAACCATCAAACATGTTTTTATATACTTCGAGATCGTATACGCCAAAAATTGCAAAAAACAAACATTCAAAGATCAAGTAACGGGACAAAACTTTTCGACTGTTATCAAACAAAAATCACGATTTAACGGTTATTTTAACTCCGATTTTGATGATTTTTTTATAGCTACACTCCTTGACACTATATGAATGCAATGAATGAATTTGATCTTCAATTTAAAATATTTACACTAGTGGATACCACAAAATCTTAAATTATACTTGATGAAAGTATAAATAAACTCAGTGTTAGTGAATCTATCGTTTTGATGGGATACACATTCTACGAAACTAATTTCAACAATCCAACTGTCAAACTTGTTTGTATATGCTTCAAGATCGCATACGCCAAAAATCGCAAAAAACAAACATTCAGAGATCAAGTAACGGAACAAAACTTTTCGACGGTTATCAACGAAAAATCACGATTTAACGGTTATTTTAACTCCGATTTTGATGATTTTTTATAGCTACATTCATTGATCCTATATGAATACAATGAATGAACTCGGTCTTCAATTTAAAATATTAATGATTTTTACAGCTACACTCATTGACCCTATATGACTACAATGAATGAGATTCATATAATGTTGAAACTTAACAAAACAAGCAGGAGTCATCTTTTTATTTTCGTAACCTTTGGCCGCTACGAAAATGTTTTGGGTGCCTAATCTGTCACTAAACGCTTTAGTCACCGTGCAGTAAAGAATAAAGGGATGTTGACATAACCTACTTGTCAAGATTAATTACATGCGGAAAAATGATTGAGAAATTTTGAAGGAGAAGAAAAGGCTTTGAAAGGCAAAAGCTAGAAATGGAAGGTGTGAGTGGACTGTGGACAAGAACGCAAAAGAATACGCCGAGAGATATAGAGTTTAAATGTGAGGGCAGAGTAAGGAGAAGAAGCAAAAGCAAGAGTGTAATCAATGGTATTCAGTAGAAAGAAAAATGTGATTGTTGGGTCAGATGCACTCACATTTTCTCTTAATTTGAGTGGTGGAAAGCAATAATAATGCATCCTGATGTGGGTCAATCCCCATTGATCTCCCTCTTCTTCTAACATTCAACAATTTAACCCACTAACGTTATCATTTGTTAAAAAAAAGAAAAAAAAAACTATACAACAATATATTTACACACTAAAGGAGAGAGAATAAATTGGTCGTGAACTCGCCACTCCCGAGATTCGGGCACATGAATAGTGCTTGACAAGTCTAATTTTCTTTTTCTTAGAAAAGTAATTGTTTGACATATCTGAGTTTATCTGCAGCATATACTTTAGCCTTTTCTGTTAAGGATGATTATTCCACAGGCTTATACGGGTGCAGTTACTAAGATAGGACATCGTTTACATCCTTATATTATTATACATCCTTTTGCTTTAAGTTTTTTATTTTACTTTTTTAACAAACGATATTATCTATATTAAGGAGTGAGGGGCTTAGCCTTATAATAAGCTAGCAATAATATGGTTCAAATTCGTCTTTATCGAGAATCGAACCTAAAACCTCTCACTTACAAATTGAAAAAAAAATACCATTAAACAATATTAATAAATAGCATGTCAGCTGTTTTATTTGAAATACATTTTCGCCTATGTTCTTTTTCTGGTGGGCTTGTGATTTTATGAATGCATTTTGGATAATTTGTCCCATGAATTGAACATTTGGCTACATGCTACAGGTTTGCAGATGTATCTCAGAATTGTACAGGCATAGAGCACCTAATAGTGATATCATGCTTTTTGCGTGGAGAAACAAAATATTAAACAAATGATAGTGCTTATTCTCTGGTGATTATTCATCTTTTTCTGAGATAAATCATAATTGTAATCCTTAATGATGAAACTTGTCCGAGCGGTTCCATTGATGTATGTTTGCGGTCAGATGAGTTGATAAATTTATGGAAAAATGGTGTACGAACGTATGACAAGTCGACGAGGGAAATGTGCACTTTGAGAGTTGCAATAATGTGGACAATTAATTATTTCTTTGCTTATGGTATGTTGTTTGGCTTGATTACCGAAGGGTATATGGCATGCCCAACATACGGCAAGGACACATCGTTCTTTTTGGCACACTGGAAAGGTATGCTACTTGGATCACCGTAGGCGGCTTCCTTGGAATCACAAGTGGCGTGAGAAGCCATAAGCTTTTGATGGGAAAACAGACTATCGAACTAGACCACGAGAATTATCTGGAGATGAAATATTCGCCAAGTTGAATATACTCCAATTTGATGAAGGTTCGAGACCAGTGGAACATCCCCTATATTCGCCAAGTTGGGTAAAGCCGGTCATCCCCTATATTAAACCGAGACTCCTCCATTTATGTCATTCATTCAAGTTCACTCTCACCCATTTCTCTCTGTCTCTCTCCATCTCTTTGAAAGGTATATCAAATTTATTTTTACATTGTTCTTGTTTTTGTTGTTGTTGTTATATAATTTTGTTGTTGTTGTTGTTGTTGTTGGTGTTGTTATTATATGATTTTGTTGTTGTTGTTGTTGTTGTCGTACTTGTATTGTTACAACTCATACTTTAAAATATTGTATTTTATTCCCGAAATATGTGAAATGACTATTTTCCTCCAAGTGGGTGCCTTAATTAATTTATCAAGCCTCAACTTGAGATTTATATCCTTGTACTTTCTTAAGTTTCATAATCTTATTTTTCGTACGTTAGTTTAACGTTGATATCGAATTTCACCTTAGGGAACCTAATTGTAAAATTTACAATTAGTGAGGGGGAAATTTGTAATTTCACTTAAAAAAATTAAGTGAATTTATACCCACTCCGGCCTCTCTCTCCCTTCCCATTTTCTGCAAACACTCATATTCTCTCTCTCTCTATCTCTCTCTCTCTCTCTCTCTCTCTCTCTCAGCCGAGAGCCTCTTATCCTTGCTCTCACCTTCCCATTTTCTGCAAACACTCATATTCTCTCTCTCTCTCTCTCTCTCTCTCAGCCGAGAGCCTCTTATCCTTGCTCTCACCTTCACTCTCTCATCAATCGAACTTGAAAACCATAAATTTGGCATCTCTGAGACGAGAGGAACCTGTTTATACCTTCGCACGCATCATCAGAGCGATGGGCAGTGAACTGCCATGGAACCCGTGAGCTTCGAGCTCTAGCTCTTGATCTCATGTGAGATTCTTGCTCTTCCTTCAATTTTTGGGCTTCTAAATGTGTTGGAACTGTTTGTTTCTTCGAATTTTGAGCTTGAAAACTTGTGCTTTAACTCGATTATACTCTGAACTTGCATGCCTAGCCACGACTTTGAATTCTAGCAAGACTGTCGTCGAGTTCAAGGTTGATTTGGGTTCTGCAGTGTTCTTATTTCATTTCTCTTTCGATTGGGACTGAATTTGGTGAGGTTTAAACCTGTTTTTTTCGTGCTCTAAACCTCTGCATGTCTCTCGGTGTAATTGCCCAGTTTTCGATTGTCTTCTCCGAGCAAACTCCGGCAACTTTGTGATTTCTGGAGCTCGGGAATAACTCGAACCAATCTCAGGTATTTAGATACCTTCTTGCATGTTAATTTTAGTTCAAATTTACTAAGGTTTGACATGCATGCAATGTGTTTCCTATTTCCAGAATCTGGCGAGGGTTTTTGAGGGAAATCCGTCGAGTCCGAGGTGAATTCGACCCCCATTCCTCTCAAATCTGTTCAAAGTAAGTCCCTGAGCCTTTATTTGATTTTTCTGCGAGTTGATGAGAAATTCGTGAGATTTGAGACTGAAATCACTCTCTACAACCCTCGGTGCAACTTTTGCAGTTTCCAGCGAGGCTCCGGTGATGGCAGACGGCTACCCTCGACGATCTACGTTAAGTTTAACGGCAGAACTAAGGATTCCGTTAACTCTAACGAAATCATTCAACAACGAAGGTATATTCCGTTAACTATCTTAAACCCTCACTGCTCTGGCACGTAGCACCAGCGACGGTGAATGTGACGTCTACTCGCCAAACCGCGGCAGCGAGTACGACAACGTGTTCACCTGCAACTGTGGCCCATGGCGGCGCATGTTGTCCGGCACAACACCACTGTGGCGACACGACACCACTGCGGCGACACGTGGTGGCGTGTGATCGGAGCACGGCTGTGCGTGGCGACGCGTGACACACCCGAGACCTAACCCCAGGTTTTTCGTTGTTTTGAATCACGTGGTGCCCTCCATTTGTGCAAATTCAAAGCCTAAATGGTAGAGTTGGACAATGTTCCATACGTTGATGTTTTAAACTTGTATTAGCTTATATTGATTATCACATGATTGTTAGAGGATCATAAACTATGCAAAATTTACTTAAACGCGATTGTGACTAGCAACCTTCACTACTTGCGAATATAAGTTATAACAATTAGGTGAAACTCCCTTATATTCTAGCATCAAATTCATGCATGAAAATTAAGCGTGCACTCTCAACCAACATACACAAATCAGTTTTTATACGAACGGATAAGTAAATTGAATTCATAACTTATGAAACGCAATTAGAAGTAATCAAATCATATTGCAAGCATAAACATGGTTTCGAATTCCCCCCTATCTAAGGGGGGTTTAGTTTCTCATACTCACAAAAGCAAAGATGAACAAATTTAGACATTGAAAACAAAAGAAAGAAAACACCTAGATGCTCCAATGATCCACTTTTGAACAACAAGCACGCCTATGGACTGTCCTCCTTCCTCTTTGCTGCGGCACAAGACTTGGGGACAGGTTTTGGGTGATATTTTTATGGAGGAATGGATGTGAGATGGTATGGTAGTGTTTAGGATAGGTGGAGGGGTGCGGCAAAGGTAAGGAATTATGGATGTATGGTGATTTGGGAGTGTAGAATGGTGTGGAATGTGGCTGGACGAATTTCTGAGATGAAAGGGGGTATTTTTTCATGTCTCTAGTGTTCTTCCCTTCACTCCCTATTTATAGAAGCTCCAAAGCAAAGAATCACTCAAGTGGCTTCAATAAACAATACAAACAAAGACCAAAAAAATGATGCAAAAAACAACTAGTTTACATGCTCTTTTATCATTGTGTCTTGCCTTTAAACAAAAGGCAATCATTCATCTCTTGCTAATTTCAACTCCTTTGTAGCTGTCCATGTGCCTTCATTCTTCAATTTCTGATGCATTTGCCTTGTATTCCATCCCTTTTCCACCATATACTAGCTGTTAGACAACTTTCACACACATGTTTTTGCATCATTTCATCTTGCAAACATCAACTTTTGGCCACTTTAACACCTCTACACACATGCTATGCATCATTTCAGCTTGCAATGATGTTTGTAGTTGCTGAAAAAGGTGAATACAACTTGTAAAGCAATCCAACAAATGGCATCTTTCACTTCTTTTCCTTTCAAATTGTTCCTTAAGTGTATGTATCTGCATACTTCCATACTTCAACTTCATTATTCAGATTTTTGCATGTGTTGAAACCCTTTTTAAAACACCAAAAACGTCCATCCCACTTGCTCCATATGCATGCAATCCATTTTGGCCCAAAATTGCTCCAAATTGCACCAAAATGCACTTTCTTTCCAACTTTGCTATTAGGACCTATAAACACACGAAAATAGCTTAAAACACTCTTATAAGCAATAAATAACTAAGTAAATGCAAGAAAACATGTTAACTAAGTTGCATAAATATGCTCCTATCACTGACATAATTCGTTTTGACGAAATTCTGACGAAGTTAACGAAAAGAACCATAGATGCACGTTTTGATGAGTTAAGAGACCAATTGTGATATCCCGTACCCAAAATTAGTATTTTATTTAATTTTTGACGTATTTCAGAGATTTAATTGAAGTTAATTCGTTAATTCTCTGATTTTGAGAAAAGCGAAGTGAGGGGGTAATTTGGTCATTTCCAATTTTCTCGACCTTTTTGGTCAACTCTAGAGTTATTTAGGTAGAGCTTAATTCCACGAGCATGTAGGTACAAACGGATACTAATTCCGAGTTAGAACGGAAAAATTACGAGCCTCAGAAGTAGTGAAACCTTTTAGACATGTGGACTTACTATTAGAAGTGAGTCTATAATTAGTCAACCCAAAATTAGGAAGTTTCCACTTCAGGAAACCTGGTTCAGAAGCCCAAAAACCCAAAAAATCAACCCAAACGAACCCCCGCAACCCACGAAATTCCGACGACTATTCCGGCCACCTCCAGTGGAATTTGTTAGGATTCTAGTTATTGGGTTTATATCATTTATGGTATTTTGTCTTATCTCTGTAGTAGTTGGTTTCATCCAACGGGAGTGAGGGTGGAGATGTGTTCCAATCTTAGAACTCCTCATCTAGGGTTGTATTTAAGCCTCCTTTCATCATTTGGGAAAGGCATGAATGAAAAGAATTGTTATTTTATTTCTTACTTTCCTTGCATTTTCCTTTTCTTCTCCATTCCTACGGAATTGGTCCTATCATATTTTTCGATGCCACCACCACCATCTTGAAGCTCTCACTCCTCTCTACAAAACTCACCCAAGAGCCATCTTGATTAACCACCGTACGTGGCAGTGCGAGGCCACAAAACCGACGAAAATCAACAGTTCTCCGGCCACCCTTTTCATTTTTCCGGTGAATCGACAAAGCGATGACCGACGCCACCACTTGGGTTTTGTAGCCCATCATCTAGGATTCCAAATGCCAGACTTTGCCCATGTTTCTTTACTTCTTGCCCCTGATCGGAGTAAGCTGTCAAAGAGGCATGGTGCGACTTCTGTAGGCCAGGTGGTTATCTATAAATATGCTTATTGTTACTTGATAAATATGTTGGATTACAGGATGTATCATCCATGGTCCTAGGGCTTGAACCTTTCTCTATTCTGATTTTCTTTACTTAAGAGTTTCTTTGTCAATATTGACAATATTCTTGACATCTAATAACTAGAACATAACAGTACAGGGAGATGGGCTATCTACCTCAGGCAATGGTGAACTACTTGGCACTGTTAGGTTGGGGTGATGGCACTGAAAATGAATTCTTCACCCTTGAGAAGCTTGGTTAGTGTACCCTTTTCTTTAATTGTCACTTTGTCACTCTCTTGCTGTCTATTGTCCTCTCCTCCGAAATCTCCTGCTCACCTTCTGCATGGTGTTTAAATATCCTTGTGTTTTGTTTTGACTAATTTCTTGCTTGAATATTTTCATGCAATTCATAGGTGAGAAATTTACAGTTGGTCGCGTCAACAAAAGTGGTGCCATTTTCGACTCGACCAAATTTAGGTAATTTTGGCTTTTAATCTGCTATATACCGAGAATGGTTGCT